TATTCTGACAACCAGGCACGCCACGGCACGGCGTGTTCTCTGTTTTCTGAGATTTAGGCGCAGCAATGCTTGTCTCGCATTCTGACAACCAGGCACAGCACGACACGGCACGGCGTTAGCCTCGCAGTCTACCAACCAGGCACGCCACGGTACGGCGTGTTTTCCGTTTTCTGAAATGCAGGCGCAGCATTTCGTGTTCCGCATTCTGAAAGCCAGGCACGGCATGGCACGACACGGCACGGGATCTGCTTCGCATTCGGAAGACCGGGCACGGCACGGCACGGCCTTTTTTAGGGGGCAGTCTGAAGTCCAAGCACGGCACGGCAGGACATCTCCTTCGCATTCTGAACACACGGCGCGGGACGGCATGGCGGCTGCTTCGCGCTATGAAGATCCAGGCACCACATCGCGTGGCATTGCGTGTTTTGGCATCATGAAAACAAAGCCAGGCACCGTACGGCACGGCACTGGTCTTGTCTCGCATTCTGAAACACGCAGTCACGGCACGCCTCTGCAAGTGTCATATTTTCGAACGCAGAATCATTGTTTTAAAATCTGTCTGACCCGTTACAGCATCCGGTGTTCAGGGCGGATAAGCAGCACCAGCTCGCGCTCTGGAAAGGGAAAGATGACAGGAGAGCGCGCGAGCAGAGCCGAAACTTGAGATGGAGTGCGAGGGGTGTTCAGACTAAAATCGCATTTCAGGTCTGAGGCATCGCTAGCTCTCTCTCTCTCTCTCTGCGATGAGAGCACGTGGCAACACAGCGCGAGGATTTACGAGAAACAGCGGGATGGCCACAGTCACATCAGAATGAATGCCGAAGGGGCACAGGGCTGGGCAGGAGTTGTTCAGGAAAGCTGGCGATCTAGCTCTGAGCAAGCTCTCCGAATTCCAGGCGGCCAACCCTATTGTTTGATATGCGCTCTTCCCTTCCAGTGCTGTTGTCGAATCGAGCGTGAGAGATTTCACATTCCACTGAGTCCGAGTTTTTAGCGACACAGTATGGTGGTGGCCACGCCCGCTTTGCGCTACAGGTGATGATCGCATTTTGGAATCGTCCACTCTTGAGCCCTTTCGGATCACGACTCAAGGCTTACTTTGCTCAGATTGAACCCTGTCCTGTGGAGCCTTCTTGGAAGGGCGGCTCACGCCCCAAAGCCTCAGGCTGATCCCCAAGTGTAGTGCAGTCAACCCGCATAGTAAGGATGCGCAACTTCCCAAGGCTACCCTTGCATCCTTCCCCTTCGGCCCATCCTCGGCCGCTTTCGCTGGCCGCGCCCCGCTCGCACAGTGTCGACGTGGCCCTCCAAGGCCCTTGCATCCCTGTCGCGCGGCCCCATTATACGGTTTGACGGGATGAGTGATGCCGCGGAGGCCCAAAGGAGCTCGGGACGCCCATAGGCATTACCTCACACCGTCTTCCCTTGGAGGTTTTGCTGCGCTCCCCTGCTGACATTGTCCCTGCGCCTCCCTCCCCGAGACTGCCCGCTCGCCCTGCTGGGCTCCGGCCGCACAACCGAGGGTGGGCTCTGCTGAGGCGGGCACGCTTCCGTCTTTCTCTACAATCGGATACGGCGCGAGGCGGGGCGCACACCCTTCCAAAAAGGATGGGCGACGGCGCGGTCTTTTGTATGTATGTGTGCATGCATGTAAGGATGGATGGATGTATGCATGCATGTATGTATGTATGTATGTGTGTATGTCATGTTATGCAATGAAATGGCATGTACTACACGGCAATGTAATACGATGCAGTGTCATGGAATGTATGTATGTGTGTATGTGTGTATGCAGGTATGTGTGTTTGCAGGTAGGTATGTGTATGTGTGTGGGTACGTATGTATGCATGCATGCATGTATGCATGCATGCGTGTATGTATGATGTGCGTATTCATGCATGTATGTAGATGTGAATGCATGTATGTATGTATGTATTACGTATGTGTGTATGTATGTACGTATGTGTGTATATGTATGGTGAATGGCTGAATGCATGTATGCATATTTGCGTGCATGTATGTATGTCTGTATGTGCTTATGTACGTATGTGTGCATGCATGAATGTGTGTGTATGTATGCATGTAGGTTTGTGTATATGTGTATGTGTGTATGTATGTTTGTGCGTGTGTGAATATGTATGAGTGTGTGCCTGTATGTTTGTATGTCTGTATGGTGTATGTATGTGTGGGTGCATGTATGTATGTGTGAGTGTGTGTATGTTTGTATGTGTGTAGGTATGTATGTATGTACGTATGCGCATATGTATTTATGCATGTGTGTATGTGTGGATGGGTGTATGTTTGTATGTGTGTGTATACGTGTGTATACGTGTATGCGTGTATGGATGTACGTATGTAAGTATGCCTGAGTGTGTGCATGTATGTATGTATGTATGGTGTGTATGTATGTATGTATGGATACATGTATGTATGCATATATGTATGCATGTGTGTATGTGTGTACGTATGTAGGTGTGTATGTATGTGTGTGTGCACGTATGTATGCACGAATGAATGTGTATGGACAGATGTATGTATGTGTATATGTGTATGCGTGTATGTATGCATGTACGTATGTAAATATGTATGGGCATGTGCACGTATGTATGTATGTATGGATTTTGTCTGTATGTATACAGATATGTGTGTATGTATGTATGTATGTACGTATGCACGTATGTATGTAGGTGTGTATGTATGCACGTATGCACGTATGCATGTATGTATGTATGTATGTGTGTACGCATGTATGTCTGAATGTCTGTATATTAGACGTGCGTATGTATGTATGCATGTGTGCAGGCACGTATGCATATATGTGTGTTTGCGTATGTACGTTTGTGTGTATTCATGTATGTATGTATGTATGTATGTATGTATATATGTATGTATGTATGTATGTATGTATGTATGTATGTATGTATGTATGTATGTATGTGTATATAAGCATGTATGTATGTATGTGTGTAACTAAGTATGTATGCTTGTATGTCTGTATGTATGTGTGTATGTATGTAAGCATCAGCATTGTTGGGTCACTCTTCTACATGCGAGCTCCGACGGTGTGCTACTCGGCCTCGTTCAGCTGGGCACTCGCCGCCCCCATGCGCACCAGCAGCACGCGCGCGCGATCAGGCGCGCGCACGCTCATCACGCGGGCTCACGGACAAGATACTGAGCTTGGGGAAGTATTGTTCTAGGCACGACGGGACGTCGTGCCTAGAACATGGGCGCCATCGTCGACGATTCATGGTCGGCATGACCGATTCATGGGCGACGTCGTCGACGGCGCCCATGAATCGGTCATGACTCTGGACGGTACGGCTCGCACTTCCTCGACAGGAGGAAATCACGTCATGCGTGGGGGACGATTTCGAAACCCTACGAGACCTCAGCAGGTCGGAACCCCAGGCTGGAGGCTGGCACCCCCGCATCCTCGCGACTTTCGCCCGGTCAGTGCCAGAATTTAGCTCGCGAATTTTTGCACCCCTGTCTTGGAATGTGCGCGCTCTCGTTGCTGGAGTGTGGCGAGTGCTCCTCCTCGTGTCGACGCCGCGCCGCGGGCAGCCTATGAATTACTCTATGCTCCTGTACTCCTTCGCCCTGGCCAAGATGCCGCACCCGGCGCTTTACGAGAAAGTGGCGGAGAGATGTAGCGTCAAGGCGCGTCATTGCTGCTCTGCGCTTGCAGGGGAATGACGACAAGTGCGTGCGCGCTTGCAGCATGAGGCCGACGAGGGGAGCGACGACGCTGGCGACGGCGGCGACAGTGACAAGGACACGACGTCGACGAGGACGTGCAGGCGAGAGGGACGGGCGAGCGGGCGCAGCACGCCGGCAGGAGCGCCCTTCCTGGGCGTTTGCGGAGGGGCCGTGCGGAGCGGAGCGCGCGCAGGGGAAAGCAAGCGGGTGCGCCTTCAAAACAAAAACAAGTGGGGGACGAGAGAGGGAGGGAGGGAGGGAGGGAGGGAGGGGAAGAGGCCGAGGAAGAGGAGGAGGAGGAGGCGGAGGAGGAGGAGGCGGAGGAGGGGGAGGGGGCGGGGGGGGGAGCAGCAAGACCCGTCCAGCCAGAGCGGCCGGCTCGGCGCCGGGGAGTGGCCCCACGGGGCCGGCTCTCCCGGCAGGTGCGGCTCCCGAGGCGCTGGCTCTCCGAGCTTGCAAGGAGGGGGCGCGAGGCGGCAGGGGTGGCCCAGGCACCCGGGGGCCCCCAAACGGGGTGGTGACCACGCCGTGTGGCGAGTCGGCGGGGCTCGGGTCGTTCTCCGAGGATGTCTCGGGCGACTGGAGCCTCTGGGGTCCCAAAACCGTGCGCTGACGGACCGTGCGGTGAGGTCTTGAGGGATTTCGAAGTCACCGCACGGTCTGTCGCCGCACCGTTTCGGGACTCCAAAGGCACCTCCTGGCATGCCAGAGCCGAAGGCTGCGGCGCGACCCAGGAAGTGAGCTGCGGTGCCGAAGGCTGCGACCTCCATAGGATTCCTCAGGACATCCGTAGGAATCCTTGAGACATCCATGGGACTCCGTAGGAAATCCATGGGAATCCTCAGGAAATCCATAGGATTTCGGAGGAAATCTCAAGGAATCCTTGAGCAATCCATAGAATTCCGTCAGGACATCTCTAGGATTCCTTAGGGCATCCATCGGATTCCTTAAGAAATCCATCGAACTCCTTGGGAAATACATGGGGTTCCTTCAGAAATCGATCGGGTCCAAGTCACACCTTGGTCCGAGCAAGCTTGCTGAAGCAGTGTGTCTCCCCGCCTGCTTCCGAGAAGGCTTCCGTCGTCGACCGCATGGACGCCGCATCCGCTCGCGTCCCCCTGCCCCTTGCCCGCTCTCCTCGTCCCCCTCGCCTCGTCATGCATTGGGAAGGGCGAGGACGAGGAGGAGGAGGAGGAGGAGGAAGAGGACGAGGAGGAGGAGGAGGAGGAGGAGCAGCAACAGCAGGGAAGAGAAGGAGCATAAGGAGGGCATTTCAGATGCTGAGGCCCTCCCGTGGCAGCCACGCTGGCCCGAGCCGCAGTCGAGCCTCGTACCAGGAGAGATCCTCCTGGCGCGCCAGCTCCCTGCATGGCCGTGTTCGCCCAATGCATGCACAACCTGGCTGGCGTCAAGGATCTGGTGCTCTCTTCGCCCTCGTCCTCCTCCACCTCCTCCACCTTCTTCTCTCCATCCCCTCTCTCCTTCACAGGGCAGATCGCCTCTCCGATCGGCGCGGCTTTCCTTCCCCTCGATCTCGTCCAGCTCATTATCCTCCTCCGCCTCCTCCTCTTCCTCCTCCTCCTCCTCAGGTCCTCCTCCTCCTCCTCTTCCTCCTCCTCCTCTGTGGAGGGGGCATGGGACATACTTGTATCATGCCGGCCCCCATTCAAGCACCAATTGCATCTACCGCTCTTCATCACCTGCTGTGTACGAATTTCAATCCGCCTTCCCTCCGCATAATAACGTACCATAATAAACCCATAAAAGTCACTTCCCATTCCGCATCCTTCTCCTCCTCCTTCTCCTTACTCTGTTGCTGTTCCTTCTACTTCTCTCCCTGATATCGTGTGGACGTCGGATTGACATCAATGATATCGCGCAGACACGGGATTGAAGCTCGAATCGTCCTGTGGTTGCTTTTACGTTTCTTTTTCCTCCTCCTCCTGCCCCCTCTAATCCTCTTCCTCCTCCTGCTCCCTCGTCTCCCTCCACCCCGCACCCCATCCCATCCCCTCCCCCCTTCCCATCCCCTCCCCATCCCGTCCCCTCCCCTCCCCCCCCTCCGTCCCAGCTGCTCTGGTCGAAGGCAGCCCACCCGAGCTCTGGCGCCCCCTGCCGCCTTGAAGGAGAGCAACAAGAAGTACACCGGGACAGTCGAGGTTACCAATGCTTTGGAAGAGCCGGTGACACTGGTGTTCAGGACAACGGCGCTCCTCCTGGACAAGGCTAAGCTACACGAGGCCGCCCCAGCCAGTGGAGCGGGTGGGTGATCGCTCGAGGAGGATGGCGAAGAGGGAAGGTGTGCAGAAATTCGACAGGTGAGGGTGGCCATATGATCGATGTTGGTCGAGTTGATTAACCGAATTGTGAGCAGGCTTGGAAGTCCCAGGGTGCGATCTTGCATCGAACGACGATGATATCCTTTCTTCCTCCGCGGGTTTAAGTGAATTTGCTCTGCAGCAGGTCTAAGTAGAAAAGGGCAAAGAGTTTAGTTCGGTGGATTTACGATTCTTCATCTCTCCTTCTCTTTCCCTGCCTTCACCCCACCTTCACTGCACCTCCCTTCCAAGCACCGATCCATCCATTGATTGCTGCTTACGAGTATGGTGTTCAACCGCTCTGCCTCTTGCAAGGGCACGTGGACGCGCATGCACACAGCTGCACCTGTGTGCGTGCACATGCACGCAAAATAAACACGCGCACGCACAATCACATGTGAGTTGCTGGCGACAATATCCCAGCCGTGGGGCTGAAGGCGCAGCCCGCGCTGGCAAACTGCGCGCTGGCACTTCAACCACTGTAGGTCAGCGGATGAGGACACTCCACAGCAAATGCCTGAAGGACCTTGTGGTTGTCAGCACACGATGCGCTGCAGAAGCACCATGGTTGTGTCAATGTAGTCAATCAGAGTGCACACGAACAAACACACAGACACACACACACACACAGCTTGTTGGCCCAACTTAGCGAAGCGAATAGCGGGGTGCGCTATGGGCAATTGCCATGAAGCCTTGACGGCGGAGGGCAGCCGGCGTTGGGCAGCACGTGCAGAAAAAGCGCTCCGTGTGCATGGCGTCATGCAGTTTCGCGCACAGACCCGCATGGGTAAGGCGCAGGAAGTCGATCGAATAGGGCGCAGAAAGATTGTAAAGCGCCACGGACACGGGAAGCCAGCCGGGGGAGCCCGGGCGGCAATGCCACGACGGGTAGAGAGAGTTCGCCGCTGGCCGGAAAGCCACGAGCGAAGAGAGTGAGAGCATTGGAGCCGGCGAGCTGCAAGTGAGCTCGTGGCGCAGCCAGGGAGGCCAGCGGTCGGGCAGCAGCACCGCGGGCGCCGACGGGCGCGAACCTTCAGGTGGACGACGAACACACATACACACAGACACACAGACACACACGCACGCACACACACACACACACCCACGCACGCACGCACGCACGCACACACACACACACACACACACACACACGCACACACACACACACACACGCACACATATACACACACACACGCACACGCACACACACACACACACACACACACGCAAACACGAACACGCGTTTCAATGAAAGCTCTGGTTTGCGGCCCGCACGCTGTCGGACATCTGGAAGAGCAACCACCGATCAGAGCAGTCAGGAAGCACGCCAAGGCGACTTGTTGGCGACAGATAGTCAGGTGACACTTACAGTGGGCCCTCACATGGGAAAGAGGATTATGTGATGATGGAAAGAGGGATGAGGAGAAGGAGGAGGAGGAGGAGGCGCAGGAGAGGAAGGAACACACACACAAGGATTTCAGTTAGCCGACTGATCACTCCGTCAACACAAGATAACCGATCAAATGGTAGAGCGGCTAATCTCCAATATCTGCCGTGCATCATTTCACGAGCTGTCGAAACAAGAGCCGAAGGGAACAGTGAAAGTACTCACGGTACACATCCACAAGGTGGTCTTCCAGACCAAAACATTATCCGCCCACGCAGGTGCTGCGGACCGTGGATCAAATGCTGGCAGAAGATTGGACGGCGTACGATCAAAAGTGACTGGGAGGCCAGTGGAAAGCCAGTATCCGACTCCAGTCTGATCCCAGTCTGACACGTGACCGCATCTGTCGAGGTGTCCCCGCCCAAGGACGGTGCTCACCGAGATCCGATCGGGAAGCCACTGTTGAACTTCAGTCAAGCTCGCGTCGGTCATAGCCGGGGCGTCCCAGCCGGTGCCCAGAGTGGTGTTGGGGCCGATCCCCCGGTCTGCGGATCCCCTCGAGGAGTGCCAGGCTGGACACGCGCCAAGGCCGTGGTGGCGACACCTTGGGCCCCTGCCAGCAGCGCGCCAGGCTGTGGCGACGACACCTGGCCCACCAGGCCGTGCCAAGTACGCACACCTGGCCGGATGCCGGTCACCGTATGATGGGCCCATGTTCCACCACCACCAGAAGTTGGAGGGGGGAGGGAGGCGGAGGAGGAGGAGGAGGAGGAGGAGGAAGAAGAGGAGGAGGAGGAGGAGGAGGAGGAGGACCCCCTCCCACTCCTACTTGTGGTGGTGGCGGGGGAAAACAGGCCCACCACCGTGGGACTGCAGCTCATCGTCGGCCTCCGGCTCCGCGGGGGAAGCAGCCTGGGCGCCCGGCAGCGGTCCGCGGGCCGCCGGCCGCACGGGTCGGCGGTGCTCTGGTCTGCCGCCGGCTTGCCGTGGGGGCCGGTGGTGCTGGTCTGCTGGGCTCGTTTCTCGTGCGAGGCTGGCGTGCTGACGTATCGATTGAAGCGGAGGGGGTAGCCGCTGGCCTCATCAGTTTGCGGTTTGCCGCTGGTCTGCCGCCAAGGTCAGCCGTGTTGCTCGGCCGCGCTGTTGGTTGCTGTGAGGCGTGTGGAGTCGCGCCGCTAAACGCTTGAGGCGGACAAGAACTGCGTGTCTTGCGTGCGAGCCGCCCTTCATGCCACCAGTTCTGTGTTGTCATTAGTGCTACGTCGTCGCTGGTGCTGTGGTGTTCTCGTCGCCACCAGCATCGCCTCTGGTGCTGTGTTATCGCCAGTGCTGCCATCGTCGGGCGTCGCCGATGGCTGTTGTCGTCACCCAGCCAGGGATAAACTAGCTCGAGGCTGTCTCAGGTGCAAAGTGATGAGCCGCGGGGCACACATCTCAATTCAAAGCCGCACTGGGCGAACAAAGAGTCGGATCCGTGGCAGCTTCCCCTTTCCACTGCACCGCCCTGAGAACGCAGCAGTTTGAGAGCTGGACCCGGATGCATCCTGTCTTGATGGCCCTGCAGGTTTGAGACTAAGGAGCGGGACATGCGATGGAAGTTTTCAGAATAATAGTGGGACCTCGACCTGGAGCCACCAGAGTCGAAACCAGAGCAAGAGTCGGAAGGCTCGTGCCAGGCGTCTTGTCGGAAGGGCTACTCTTCAGCAGGCAGTTCCACCGGTGACTCGTCAGATCGTTGCGCTTACGGAGGCGTCCGTTTCCCAGCCAGTTGTTCCGCTCTGCGTTGGCAGACTCTTGCGTGATGGGACTCATATCGATCTTCCCCTGGAGTCTTCTTTCTTATCTTTGAATACGTTTGCCCATTTTCTCAGCTCTAATTCCGCCGCGTCCATTAGCTTTCTCTTCCTCGTCTTCATCCTGGGTTTGTCTGAGTCGAAGTCGGAAGCGGAGTCACGAGAATAGGAGTCCTCGTAGAACTATTGGCTGTCGCCGCTCTGCTTGATGGTCTTGCCGACATGATTGTAGAACTATTGGTTGTCGCTGCACTTCCCCACGATCTCCGCAAGCATCCCGAGGCGCGTTCGAACCAGTGTATCTTGATTACTGTTGCTTTCAGAGTTGTTCAAATCCAGTTGTCCGCACGGTGTGTTCAGCAACAGGCCGACCGATTACACTACATCCATGGCAGGTTTGACCCACTCGTGAGTGAGCTCGTCGCGGTCGCTGGTAGTCAGGACATGCCCCAAGAACAGTTTGATATTGCTGCATTTGTTTCCGGAGTCGACCGAGTCGACAGGCGCCTGTCGCGCCACGCTATGTGGTCCTCCAAGTCGTTAGACAGGAAATTGTGCAACGGGGCGTCCTCCTTGGCGGCCACGTCGTCCTGCTTACGCATCCACAGCGGATGGGTGTTGGCGAGTCGATTCCCATTCTTCGTCGGCCTCGAACACCCTTGCGAGCAGGTTGTCATATTCCTCTTCACTTATCCATCTTCCACCGCAGCACTCTCATCAATATCGCCTTTGGGGCATTCAGACTATATTTGGCATTCTGGCCAGCTTCCCCTTCAGATGTTTCTTCAGTTTGTCTCCCAGCCTTTGCTTCTCTTGCATATCGGTTTTGCTCTTGCATTCCGGCAGGCTCTTCCTCAGCTCGTCTCGGGGCATTATCTTTCGGCAATCGTTCTAATCGCATCGTTTCCCTCCTCTGAACCCATTCCCCGTCGCCTCCCCATCTCCTCACCTCGCGCCCCCGTCGCCTCTTTCTCGTTTTTGTTCTTACCACCGCGAAGCTGGACCGCACAGCAGGGTCGACCAGCTCCAGCTCCAGCCCAGCCAGCCGAGCCACGGCCTGCTGCGGCTGCCACGAGACCGCCGCAGCAGGCCAGGCCGCCGCGGCCACGAGGCCGGCAGCGCCCCGTGCAGCAGGCGGGGCCGCACGGTGGCCTCGGCCGCGGCAGCAGCCCGCCGCAGCGGCCGCCGGAGTGGGTCCGCGGGCGGCCGCGCAGCCCGGGGAGGCTCCCCGGGGCTGCGCGGCCGTTGCCGCCCTGCGTCGTGTTGGTGCCGCCCGTGTTCGCCAGACCGCGCAGGCACAGACAGGCTGAATATGTGTGTTTCAACGTTTGCCTCGTGACCCCCTTCTGTAGTAACAGGCCAACGCTGGAATCCAACAGGGAGGTGGCTGCGGCTTGAGATGGTCCGCGGCTCGCGTCTGGCTCACCGCGGCTGTGGGGCACGATCTTCCGCGGGCCGATGCTCCACGCCCAGCAGCCATCGGGCCCCACGATGGCGCCCGGGCAGGCCGACGGAGCCCAGCAGAATCTTGACCATTCGCAGCAGCGTTCTGACGAGCTCGGCCACGGCCTTCGGCTGCGAAGCAGCGTCGACCGTCTTGGTGCGAGACTCGCCGCCCTGCTCCCGGGATCCGTCCCTGGTCCTCGGCGGTCGGGCGAGCGCGCTTGCAGCCGTTGCATTGAAGGTTGGCTGCCCCGTCCCGTCCCGTGGTAAGCCTTGCGGCCGCCATGGGATTGCGGGTGGATGGGCGCGAGGCGCCAAGGGGATTTCGCTTTCTTCTGAGCGCGCCCCTGGCTCTGGCATTGTGTTGCGCTGGGACTGCCCGCGGCTATAGCGAGATCTCGCTCACGCGGTGGCACCCTCGGTATACCACCGTGTGCGCTTAGACGCAGACTCAGACCCATTGGCCCCCGGGGTCATTCCCCCAGTCGCGCCTGCGTCGCTTACGATGAGGAGTGGGGAAACAGAAACCTGATTGCAAAACGCAGACGTATCCGAAGCAAGGAATTTCTCCCGCAGGAGTTCGGCAGAGCGTGACTTCATCACGACCAATCGCGCGAAGAAGCAAAGCAACGTTGTGCAGGAAACAAGCGGTCACCATCGGAGGTAAGGACAGCGGCAATATGACAATCGAGCGCAAACACGTCCCCACGGAAAAGGACTGGAGACATTAAGGACACATTCACACGCGGGCATTGGTTTGAACAGTGAACATTCGAGCTGAGCACGCAGGCCCAAAACAACAAGTGCACATGTGTTCACACGTACGCATGCGCATAGGCGTATGTGTTATCACATGTTATTGCCGTGCACACGTACACACGTACAGACAATCAAGCTCATATGGGTTTCGGTGCCACGCATGTTGTTCAGGTGCGGTTCCTGCATGTTCCATGTTCACGTAGGCGCACACACGCGCCCACACAATATATGCGCACATGCGCGCGCAAAATCTTAGCACTTTGCGCTACTGCACGCTTCGTTACATTCGGTTTGCATCGCTCGGGCGTGTGCAATTTTCTAGGCGAGGACCCTCGAGGGGCATCTTGAACCATCCTGCGAAATCATAAACGCACGAAGCAGAACAATGCACGGGGAATGGACGTCCGAGCGATGGCAAGTTCGACATTCCGTCACATTGCAATGGCTTGCGCGTGTATGAATGCACGAGGACGTGCACGGATGTATTTACTCACGCATGCGCACTTACATAAGCATTGCCGCACAGAAACACGCATGCTGCGCTTTTTGGGTCCTTCTCCCGCATCTGACCCCGTCCCTCCCCGCCCGCTTTGCCTTATTCTTTGAAGGGCGCCACACATCAGGACCCGGGGCCGGTTCGCGAAGGCAGCCTTCCGGTGAGCGGACAAGAGGGAGTCCGCCACGGTAGGTTCCTGCGGCGCTGGCGACGCTGGCGAAGACGTTCAGGGCTGAATCCTGCAGCGCGGAAGCACCGAGGGGCACGGCAACGCCATTGGACCCGACGGCAGTCAACCCTGAACGATCGGGGCTGCGGCGCAGATTTCGCCGCCCAGCAGTCCCCGACGCGTGCGAGCAGCGGCCGCGGAGATGGAGGATGTCCGTGTCCCCGATCGGGCGCGCATCCTTGGCCACTGGCCTCGCGCGCAGGCGCTGGCCATCCTGCGCTCCCAAGAGAGCACACCCGGATGTGAGCCAGGGACCTGCTGATTTGCAGTCAACCGCTCTAACCACTGAGCTATGTACCCATCTGTGCTCCGCGGCATAGTAGAAGCTGCGCCGCGCGCCGCGGAGGGGATCGGGATCGACTCAATGTGTAACGATCGGCGCGGTGTCACAAGCCTCTGCGCGAGCCAGCACCGCACGAGCCTGCTGAGTACACCCGCTCGGACCACCTCCCCTCGCGGCCAGGCGCGAGCTCGGAGGCGGCCTTTTGGGAGGTCACACTCTGACTCTTTGCCCTGGCCCGAAGTCCGGTTTCATCCGGCTCAATCCCGCTTCATCCGGCGCAATTTGGTTGAATACCGCTCACCCAGAGATCCAACGCATTGAAAAAACCAAGACGGAGGTTTTTCGCAATTTTCGGCCTCTGGGAGCCTTCGATGGGCCCCGGGGCTGTCAAAAGTCGACGCAAGATGAAACATCGGTCCTGGGGAATGGGTCGAGACTTCCAGGGGGCCCCGTATTGAAAAAATAAAACGACATCGGATCCCTGGGCAATCCCGCTTAATCCGCGGTCTAATTAAGCGTAGCAGCCCCCCAACTCTGATTTTGCCCTGGTCCGAAGTCCGGCTTAGTCTGGCTCAGTCCCGCTCAATCCGGGGCAATCTAGCTTAATCCCGCTGAATCCCGCTTAACGTGCGCAGCCTAATCAGGCGTAGTAGTCCCCCAACTCTGACTTTGCCCTGGTCCGAAGTCCAGTTTGATCCAGTTCAGTACCGCTTAATCCGATGCAGTCCCGCCGAATCCCGCTTAATCCGCAGCCTACTTCGGCGTAGCAGCCCCCCACTTTGACGTTGCCCTGGTGCGAAGTCCGGTTTAATCAATCTGGCTTAATCCCGCCGAGTCCCGCTTAATCCTCGGCCTAATCAGGCGTAGCAGCCCCCCAACTTTGACTTTGCCCTGGTCCGAAGTCTGGTTTGATCCAGCTCAATCCCATTGAATCCAGCGCAGTCTGGCTTAATCCCGCTGAATCCCGTTTAATCCGCGGCCTAATCAAGCGTAGCAGCCCCCCAACTCTTAGTTTGCCATGGTTCCAGGTCAATCCGGCGCAATGCCGCTTAATCAGCGCAATCCAGCTTAATCCCCGTTGAATCCTGCTTAATCCGAGGCCGAATCAGGCGTAGCAGCCCCTCAATTCTGATTTTGCCCTGGTCCGAAGTTTAATCCAGCTCCATCCCATTTAATCTGGCACAATCCTGTTGAATCCCGCTGAATCCCGCTTATCATCCGCGGCCTAATCAGGCGTAGCAGCTCCCCAACTCTGATTTTGCCCTGGTCCGAAGTTCGGCTGAATCCGGCGCGATCCCGCTTAATCCGGCGCAATCCGGCTTAGTCCCGCTGAATCCCGCTTATATTCCGCGGCCCAACCATGCGGCTCTGCCGAATCCTTCCGACGAAGACCTCCCAGCAGATGCCTCCGAACGCGAGCCAGGAGAAGGCCGTGCAGCCTGGGGCGACGTATGTCTACGACGTGGGGGAGACGAAGCACTTCGACTTCCACCTCCAGGCTCCTCCTCCTCCTCCTCCTCCTCCTCCTTCTCCTCCTCCTCCTTCTCCTCCTCCTCCTCCTCCTCTTCCTCGTCCTCCAGATTTAAGTTGGGCATGCCCCTTCACAGGAGAAATATTCCAGAATGGTTTAAAAATGTTTGGTGAAAAAGTGTCGTGCAATTTTGACTATTCTTGATGATTCGTTTGACTGTTCTTAGTGTTTCTTCCAAAATCCGCCCGTGGGAGGACATGCCCGACCTAACTCCAGGTGCATTCCTGCGAGGGCTCACCGACCCCAACGTGGTGCCGAGTGGCCGAGGCGACGGTGGTGCGCACGGCAGGCTACAGGCTTGTCAGGGAGGACGAGGCGCCCCCTGCGGCAGAGAGTCAGAAAGCGGTCGCGCCCGCCGCTGGCGAGAACAAGCCGCCGCGCCTCAAGGCGCCCGTGGGGGAGTGCAGGAGAGAGGCCGCACCCAGATTCGGGAGGAGCCCTTCAACTCCCTCCCAGCCTGTCGCCAGGGGCTCATGTCGTGGTCGCGGGCTCAGAGCCTGCCGGCCCTCGTGCAGGGAGCGTTCAGGCTGCATCTTTGGAGGGCTGGCCAGTGGCCAGGCTGTGGCTGGCACCCGAGACGTCATCAGAATCACGAATGGCTTTTTGGCTTCTCTCGCCACCGTGCTGGTCGTGGACAAGGGGCCTGCTGGATGCTTCTTGGGATGCCTGTTGGGGGGCCTCCTGGGAGCCTCTTCGGTGGCATCTGAAGCTCGCCGGGAGACGAGCACAGGATGCCTTGGGTGCAGAACATTGTCGAAGGGTGTTTCGGACAGCTGGAGATAGGAACATGGCTTCAATATACTAACAACAGTACGAGTAATTGTAATAATACCACCACTTGTAGTCATACTACGAACAATAATTCCAACACGACTACTAACAATAAAAAGAGTAATAATAATAATAATGAAAGTAGTAGTTATAGTAATAACAATACTCATAATAACACTATTACGACCAAGATTACGTATAATAGGAATGACGATGTTGATAATGATGATGATGGTGATGGTGATGGTGATGGTGATGATGATGGTGCTAGGGATATGACAGAGCTGATGCGGGTAATGATCCTGATACTTGACAGTAATAATAGTAATGATGATGATAATGGTGGTGGTGATGATGATGGTGCTAGTGATAATGGTAGAGATTATGTTGGTAGTGATCATGACAATTATTCCGAGTGTAGGACCCCATATGATAAATATGATTAGTTTGCCTGGGGATATCATCATGTCCCCTTATCCTACCTCATCCTGCCTCCTCCTTCTCCTCCTGCCTGTTGCTCCTCCTGCCTCAATATCTGCCTCCTCCTCCTCTTGTCTCCTCCTCTTTATCTTCCTCCTCTTTATGACTCCTCCTCTTAATGCCTCCTCCAACTCACATCCCCCTTGTTGTTCCAGCCTTCTGCCTCCTCCTCCTGCTTTCCCTCTCCCTCTTCATCTTCCTCCTCCTCGTCCTCCTCCTCCTCTTCCTCCTCCTCGTCCTCCTCCTCCTCTCCCTCTCCCTCCTCCGCCTCCTCCTCGTCTCCATCTTCCTCCCCCTCCTCCCCCTCCTCCTCCCCCTCCTCCTCCTGCCTCCTCCTTAGCCTCCTCCTCCTCCTCCTCCTCCTCCTCCTCCTTCTCCTCCTCCTCCTCCTCCTCCTGCTCCTCCTCCTCCTCCTTCTCCTCCTGCCTCCTCCTTACGCCTCCTCCTTACGCCTCCTCCCTCTTCCTGGGGCCTCCTGGGGCCTCTTGGGGCCTCCTGGAGCCCTCTGGACCTCCCGGGACCTCCTGGGGCCTCCTAGGGCATTTCTCCTCCTCCTCCTTTTCCTCCTCCTCCTCCTTTTCCTCCTCCTCCTTTTCCTCCTTGTCCTTCCCCCCCTCTGCCTCCTCCTCCTCTTCCTCCTTCTCTTTCTCGTCCTGCACCCTCCGTCCTCCTCCTCCTCCTCCTCCTCCTCCTCCCCTCCTCCTACTCCTACTCCTCCTCTCTCCTCCTCCTCCTCCTCCTCCACCTCCTCCTCCTCCTCCTCCTCCTCCTCCTCCTCCTCCTCCTCCTCCTCCTCCTCCTCCTCGTGCGGAACACGACCCAGAAGAAACGCGCGACGTGCGTCCCAGCGGATACGCGCCGGAGGACGAACCACAGGAAGCGCGCGCTGGAGGACGACCCCGAGGACGAGCTTCTGCCTGAGACTTCCTCGCGTTTCACTCACAGACGAGGCTTCAGCCTGATACTTCCTCCACATTCGGGCCTCAGGGGCCCAAAAGTGACGACAGTTGCAGGAGGCCGTTGACCCGCCGCGGATTACTCATATGAGCTGCGGGCCCCATAGGGAGGGGGCTCCCGCTTGAGACTTCCTCGCAATCCACTCACAGACGAGGCTCCCGCTTCACACTTCCGCCATTTTCAGGCCTCAGGAGCCCGAAAATGACGACAGCTACAGGTTTCCGATGACCCGCTTCGGATCCGAACGAGAATTGCGGGCCCCATAAGGAGGGGGCTCCCGCTTGAGACGTCTTCGCAATCCACTCACAGAGGAGGCTCTCGCCTGATACCTCATCCATATTCAGGCCTCAGGGTCCCAAAACTGACGACAGTTGCAAGAGGCCGATGACCCGATCGGATTACTCATATGAGCTGCGGGCCCTACAGGGAGGGGGCTCCCGCCTAAGACGTCCTCGCAATTCACTCACTGACGAGGCTCCCGCCTGATACTGTCTCCATATTCAGGCCTCAGGGGCGCAAAAATGACGACAATTGCAGGAGGCCGATGACCCGCTCAGGTTACTCATATGAGCTGCGGGCTCCAAAGTGAGGGGCTCCCGCCTGATGCGTCCTCAACGTGAGTGTGTGCACGTGTGAGTGATGATGACGATGCTGATGATGATGGTGTGAATGATGATGACGATTTGAGTGATGATGGTGTTTGTGATGTGAGTGGTGATGATGATGATAATGACGATGGGAGTGATGATGATGATGATGAAGGTGGTGATGATGGTGTGAGTGTTTGAATGGATGATGATGATAATGATGTAGTGAACGATGATGAGGAACTTGATCGTTATAATGGTGATGGTGTGTGATTCATCGTGCGAGTGAGTGCGCGAAGGGAGAAGAGCTCATGAGGTAGGCATCTACGAATTGAGCGCGTGAGTGAAATCGGTGATGTTGATACTGACGATGTTGTGTGTGAGTGAGTGGGTGGTAGGTATCGAATGAGTGTGTGAGTAAAAGAATGATGATGCTGAGTGAATGTGAGTGTTTGAGCGAGTGGGTGAGTGTGTAAGTGATGATGATGATGTGGTGGTGATGATCATGATGATGTGAGTGTGTGCGTGTGTGAGTGAGTGAGTGAGTGTGTATGTGGTGAGTCAGTGAGTGAATGAGTGAAAAGAAAAGGGGTGTTCCTTCCTGTTCCTGTGGTCCTGCGCGAGGTGTCCAAAGAAAACAAGAACCCAATTTGGGATGATAGTAGTATTAATAATATGGACACTTGTTATTAAAATGGTAGAAACAGGAATAACTGAATTATTACTCGAACTAACAGTAATAATAGTATTCGTAAACATATGAATAATAAGAATAATAGAAAAACATACTACGAACAGGAATGTTAACCCGAATAATCGCAATAGAAGTAGTAACAACAACAGTAACAAGTACAATCACGATATTGACATTGATGATATATGGGCGGCGGCGGGCTCGCGCGTGTTTTACGGGGCCGACTGCTACTTCGCGGTGGGCTCGACAGCTGCTCGTTTTACGTATGTGTTGTGGTTTCCGGTCGTCTAGTGCTCTACGGGGCCACTTATTGCTTCGCGCGACGCAACGGGATGAAGGTGGCAAAAGTGGCAAAGGCCACGCCAATCGTTGCAAGCGCGGTGGTGGTGGTGGTTGTGCACCAAGTAGCACCAGCAGAGCAGAACATACGTGCAATGATGCATTACACGTTTGCTGTAATCTGGCACTCTTTACTCCTGAGTGCCAGAGGTCAGCATGACATGAAAACTGCATGGTACCAGGGGGCTGAAAGAATCTGGGCTGATAAAGCACAGCAGACAGATCACAAAGTACGCGAAACACAAATGATGCACTCTATTCCCAATCGTGGTGTCACGCATCCAGACAAGATAGTCGGCATTAGACGAAAGGGCATCGAGTACAAGTTCAGATGCTTACAAGGCTTGAGGTTAGACTTGTTCCGTAAGCTTGTTGCCAGATAAGCATGACGTGCATTTGCCATGAGGTCGCGGGGTGGGAGAGGAAGATACTTTGCTTCACGTGGCGGCCGAGAGTGCCGTCGCCATGTCTGGCAGGCGCTCAGGAATCCGCAGGAGCACCCCCATCACGATTCATAAGGAGGTGCGATGTTGAGGGTGCTCTTAACATGTTACGCAACCACGGACACAACGGTTTGGGGAGGAGTGGTGACAATAGAGGTTACATACAGGGCCGCCTCGTGCGATGCGCATGCGACTGCTGCATGTTTGCACATGCGCGGTATATGATCATGCCGACTCGATCGGGGCCGACCAGGCTTGACGCACAAATCAGCTCGGCGCAGGCGACCCGATTGCTGCGAGGGAATTAGCACAGCCATGGTAATCACCGACGTTCAATAATGTTGGTCTGTCTTTCAGAATTTCATGGTTTCGTTTCGGGTCTCGTGCAGGTCCGTGCCCAGGCCTCAGTTAAGAACATTGCGCCCCATTGCAATCCCAGTAAAGCGCCATGCGAGGCGAATGTCGAGCAGATCAAGGCGCCCACAAGGCAAAAGACCGACAAATTGGCGAACATCAAGGGCATATCGTTCTCGTTCTCTGCTTCCGGGTGGCTCTTCATGTACCAGTTGGGCGTGGCAGAGTGTTTACAAAGTCACGGTATCTGCAAGAACCCATACGTACAGATCTTAGCTGTCTTCGCTCTACTCATAGATCTGGCCCACGATCGGTAGTCGTTGACTCTCAAGAAACTTATCGCCCAAATGTCGCTGTTCATCCGAATGATTATGTATGGCGAGCTTCGCAGCACCCCTCGGTCGATTCTGAAGCAGTTCCATGCCCCGTACCAATGGTCAGCGACTCCCCTTGGGGTTCTCCTAGGATCGGCTCGCACGAGGCACATCAATGACGGCACGAACGGTCAAGAGTGCAGTAAGGATGACAACGTCGATAACGACAACGAACGCTACTGAGCAGCACCGAGGAATTTATCTTGGCGAAGGACCCAAAAATACGCAGTTGTGAGCACCGCGTTGTGGGTACTGCTTTCGGTGGAGCTCCCTGTGGGGCCACGAACCCGGTGAGAGGTGTACTGAAATGGTGCGGCGGTGCCATCGCATTTTGCCATTGGTCTTTTCGGTGGAGCTCCCTATGGGGCCACGAACCGTGTGAGGGGTGTGCCGAAATGGGGCCGTGGTGCCATGCGGAACTTGCCATTGGGGCCTTCGGTGAAGCTCCCTATGGGGCCACGCACCGTGTGAGGGGGGTTCTGAAATGGGGCTGCGGTGCCATCGCACCTTGCCATTGGTGCTTTCGGTGGAGTTCCTCATGGGGTCACGAACCGTTTGAGGGGTGTGCCGAAATGGGGCGGCGGTGCCATGCAGAACCTGCCACTGGGGCCTTCGGTGGAGCTCCCTATGGGGCCACGACCCGTGTGAGAGGTGTGCCGAAATGAGGCGGCGGTGCCATGCGAACCCTGCCACTGCGGTCTTCGGTGGAGCTCCCTGTGGGGCCACGAACCGTGTGAGGGGTGTGCCGAAATGGGGCGGCGGTGCCATGCGAACCCTGCCACTGGGGCCTTCGGTGGAACTCCTTGTGGGGCCACGAACCGTGTGAGGGGTGTGCCGAAATGGGGCGGCGGTGCCATGCGGACCCTGCCATTGGGGCCTTCGGTGGAGCTCCCTATGGGGCCACGAACCGTGTGAGGGGTGTGCCGAAATGGGGCGGCGGTGCCATGCGGACCTTGCCACTGAGGCCTTCGGTGGAGCTCTTTGTGGGGCCACGAACCGTGTGAGGGGTGTGCCGAAATGGGGCGGCGGTGCCATGCGGACCTTGCCACTGGGGCCTTCGGTGGAGCTCCCTATGGTACCACAAACCGTGTGAGGGGTGTGCCGAAATTGGGCGGCAATGCCGTGCAGACCTCACTGTGGTCTTCGGTGGAGCTCCCTGTGGGGCCACGAACCGTGTGAGGGGTGTGCCGAAATGGGGCGGCGGTGCCATGCGGACCC